TGATATTTAGTTAGTAGCATATGCTGGGATCAAGGACTACTATGTTTGTTAAAGTGAATGACTTTGACTTATATTCAAGGTCACAGGGGTCAAATTTGTTTAAAATCTTTAAACAACCTCTTATGAATAACCATGGGTCCCAGGATGTTTATACTTTGCAAGTTGCATCCTGAGATGAAAGGCTATACAATGTGTTCAACATAATGACTTTGTTCGACTTTCAATTGCAGGGGTGAAATGTTTTAAAAAAAAATAACAGGGTCTTTTGAACGAATTTTAATCATAAAAACTGATATTTTGCCTGTAGCTTTATTTTAGATCACTTTTAAGGTTACAAGTGTGAGTTTAAAACCAGGTGAGCGATGCAGGCCCATTGGGCCTCTTGTTTAATGTAGGTCCATGAACGTATCTACCCATAGAGAAGGTCCCAGCAAAACTATTTCAGACCAGGTGTCGTTCATAGATCTGCCAGTTTACCACTCATACTGTTCTCAAGGTTTGAGTGTAAATCTACTCAGACTGGTACCTCAGAGTATATTTGACTCCTATACAGTGTACAGATTTTCTTTTGTTCTTCTGGGTAAATATTTTGTAGTGCCCCAGGGTACAGGTCTTCTTTTGTTCCCCAGGGTAAAGTTTTCTGTCATGTCCCAGGGTACAGGTCTTCTTATGTTCCCCAGGGTAAAGTTTTCTGTCATACCCCAGGGTACAGGTCTTCTTTTGTTCCCCAGGGTAAAGTTTACTGTCATGCCCCAGGGTACAGGTCTTCTTTTGTTCCCCAGGGTAAATTTTTCTGTCATGCCCCAGGGTACACATCTTCTGTTCCCCAGGGTAAAGTTTTCTGTCATGCCCCAGGGTACAGGTCTTCTTTTGTTCCCCAGGGTAAAGTTTTCTGTCATGCCCCAGGGTACACATCTTATGTTCCCCAGGGTAAAGTTTTCTGTCATGCCCAAGGGTACAGGTCTTCTTTTGTTCCCCAGGGTAAAGTTTTCTGTCATGCCCCAGGGTAAAGGTCATCTTTTGTTCCCCAGGGTAAAGTTAACTGTCATGCCCCATGATGTTTGTAAATCAGGAATGATGATGATGATATTATGAATTAATGATGATGATGATAATATTTTGATGAAGATACATATAGATTGATGAGTGAAGATTATAATTGAAGATGATGATTGTATGATGATAGTGATGATTGTATGATGATGCTGATGATTGTATGATGATGGTGATGATTGTATGATGATGATGATGATAACTATATGTTGATGATGATACATGAAATGATGATTGAAGATTTTGGATGATGATGGATTATGGCAATGATGATGATTGCATAATTATATATGAAAGAGGATGATGAAGATGATAAAGATAATGATGATGATGATATGTTGATGATGATATTATGATGAATTGAAATTGATTGTAATAATGCTAAATCCATGTCCGTGTGTGTATATGTGATATATGTGAGAATGCGTGAATGTCCTGTTTATGTATATGTAATGAAAAACTTAGAAAAATAAAACCATTACAAAAAAAAAACCTGTCATGCCCCAGAGTACAAGTCATCTTTTGTTCCTCAGGGTAAAGTTTACTGTAGTGGCCCAGGATACAGGTCTTCTTTTGTTCCCCAGGGTAAAGTTTACTGTGTTGCCCCAGGGTACAAGTCATCTTTTGTTTCCCAGGGTAAAGTTTACTGTGTTGCCCCAGGATACAAGTCATCTTTTGTTCCCCGGAGTAAAGTTTTCTGTCATGTCCCAGGGTACAGGTCTTCTTTTGTTCCCCAGGGTAAAGTTTACTGTGTTGCCCAGGGTACAGGTCATCTTTTGTTCCCCAGGGTAAAGTTTACTGTCATGCCCCAGGGTACAGGTCCTCTGTTCCCCAGGGTAAAGTTTTCTGTCATGCCCCAGGGTACAGGTCTTCTTTTGTTCCCCGGAGTAAAGTTTTGTGTCATGCCCCAGGGTACAGGTCATCTTTGGTTCCCCAGGGTAAAGTTTACTGTGTTGCCCCAGGGTACAGGTCATCTTTTGTTCCCCATGGTAAAGTTTACTGTCATGCCCCAGGGTACAGGTCATCTTTTGTTCCCTAAGATAAGCATACCAATTATTTCTGGGTCACTTGTTATATATGCTTATAATTATGATATGCAACTGCAGCAGGATTAGTTGATCAACTTGTTGCAACAATATGCTATATATAGATCTAACACTGATGCGCTTTCTCTTTAGAAACTTAGTGCAGTGAAGAATTTAGTTCTAACATAAATTAACATAATGCTGCCTTACCTGGTGTAGCATACTAACATTTATGAAAAATGTAGATCTATGCCATTTAATAAGCACAGTTCCGGGTAAAATATTATGACGAGCATTACAGTTCTTTGAAGTTAGGGTACGATGAGAGTTGTATGTCTGTAACTTACCATCCAGTAGAGATATGTCAATCCAGAATGTTTGTCTAGAAAAAAAAATCAGCTTTTAAAAACATTATGATTGGACATTTGATTTGTTGCTGTGACTTTGATCTTTATGATGCAGAATATTAGATTTGAACATAAAACCACCATTCAGTCTTGATACAATCAACTAGGACCTTGAACTTGTGAAAACAAATAACGAACCATTCATAAGTTTTGTCCTAGACAAGAATAGGGGACCAAGAAAGGGAAGAAAAGAAGTACTAGAGGCGTAGTGCAGTCGTAGTTCTACTGGTTTCACTGGTAGCGTACAGTAACGGAGGACGAACAATTTATGTTTGATGTTAGAATTAATGTAAGTTTGGTAGAGTTAACATGAATAGGAACCCAGAAGTACATGATCTCCATTCATGGTACCTCTGCCAAATACTCGATAGTGCTTCATTAGGACTAGAAAACTACCTGGTACATGTATAAAATTAAATGTATTGTGGAAATTGTAAAAAGCCACCATAGGCTCTGGGAAGCTTTCATTACACTGTTGCTAAGCTATGGAAACAATGTTGTTTTTTATGGCGGAGGGAAAAAACTTTGATTTACTTTACTATCCGACATTTCTACCTTTTATCTGTCACTGCTAGGGAAAGAACTGATTTCTTTCCATCTGGATGGGTATTCATATATCCTGAGTTGAAATAACTAAGTTCTACTGTACACAGTACTACTGGAATACATGCTCTTGACATATGTAGATACTTTATAATTGGTTTAACAAAAATTGGGTTGAAAACAGAAGTCAAGTGCAAAAGAGTTGGTTGACAAAGTATACCAATTTAGTTTCCTGTTTCACTCTAATTTAACTCGGTACTACTGAATTAACTCACACTGTAAACGTAAAACAGCTGTATCTTCTGAGGGCTAGGTTGTGTTGTGATTGGCAGGGGAGAAAACCTTCTCCAGGAAGCAGTATTATCTTGCAACTGTAGAGACAAGAATGAGTTTGGATATTGATACTGATGGATATAACCTTAGGTTCATCTTTAAATACATTAAAGATCAGTTTTGATCCTGTCTCCCTACAAGTTGTGGTACTGCAGGCATGAACAAATATATATTGAGCAGTTCTACCAGTGCAAAGATTTTAGATTATATCATTTTCGTACACTAGCTATCAACAGAAAAGATGAAATGTCATAAAGATGCAGCAGGTTGGTAACACCAGGTATGGAGTACCAAATCCTGTGCACAAGCTTTACATATTAAGGAGCTTTTAAATCTGAGGTGATAAGTTGTCTCCTTTTGTCCAGCTGGCGGAGCAACAGCACAACAGGAGAATACAAACAGACTTGACACCGACTCTCTGATCGCACTGTTACAGGGCACGCCCTGGGGGCGACTGTTGTAGGGGTATGACTACACCCACCACTATACAGACCGTATATCTGTCTTATATCCACTACATGTCAAATGTACTAGTAGGATAACCATATGTCATCACACATAGCTTTGTATCTGTAAGATATTGTGATTTCACAAGTCACAGTCCAGGTCACAACTGCTTTTGTCTGTTGTCGATTAAAACACATGTGTAATCATTTTTAGCTCACCTGGCCCGAAGGTGTGGTGTGGTGTGGCGTCCGTCGTCTGTCGTTCGTCGTTCATCGTCCGTCTGTTGTCAACATTTTACTTAAACAACTTCTTCTGAATAACCAAGAGGCCCAGGCTAATGATGTTTGGCCAGTAGCATGCTGGGATGAAGGGCTACCAAGTTTGTTCAAATGAATGACCTTTGCCCATTTTCAAGGTCACAGGGGTCAAATATGTTAAAATCTTTAAACAACATCTTCTGAATAACCAGAAGGCCCAGGATGATGATATTTGGCCATTAACATGCTGGGATGAAGCAATACCAAGTTTGTTCAAATGAATGACCTTTGCATATATTCAAGGTCACAGGGGCCAAATATGTTAAAATCTTTAAACAACATCTTCTGAATAACCAGAAGGCCCAGGATGATGATATTTGGCCATTAACATGCTGGGATGAAGCAATACCAAGTTTGTTCAAATGAATGACCTTTGCGTATATTCAAGGTCACAGGGTCAAATATGTTGAAATCTTTAAATAACTTCTTCTGAATAACCTGAAGGCCCAGGATGATGATATTTGGCCAGTAGCATGCTGGGATGTAGGGCTACCAAGTTTGTTCAAATGAATGACCTTCCCCTATATTCAAGGTCACAGGGGTCAAATATGTTGAAATTTTTAAACAATTTCTTCTTAATAACCAAAATGTCTAGGGTGTTGATATTTGGCCAGTAGAATGCTTGGATAAAGGGCTACCAAGTTTTTTCAAACAATTGACCTTCATTTATACTCAATGTCACAAGGGTCAATTGTCTTGAAAACATTTAAACGACTTCTTCTGTATAACCAAAAGGTCCAGGGTGATGATATATGGCAAGAAGGATGTTGGTATGAAGGGCTACCAAGTTTGTTCAAACAAATTACCTTCACTCATATTCAAGGTCACAGGGGTCTATTGTCTTAAAAACATTTAATCAACTTCTTTTGTATAACCAAAAGGTCCAGAGTGATGATATATGGCAAGAAGGATGTTGGTATGAAGGGCTACCAAGTTTGTTCAAACAAATTACCTTCACTCATATTCAAGGTCACAGGGGTCTATTGTCTTAAAAAACATTTAATCAACTTCTTTTGTATAACCAAAAGGTCCAGGCTGATGATATTTGGCCAGAAGGATGTTGGCATGAAGGGCTAAGAAGTTTGTTCAATTTAATTACTTTTTCCCATATTCAAGGTCACAGGGGTTTACAGAAATTCACAGACAGGCTTCATTGCTTCACAATGTTGTACACAATTGTGGGACTAGCTATAATGCTTTGACTAGCTATGATGCTTAAACAACGTTGCAAACAATTATAAAGGCTACCTGTTGTGCTTTTACATAAAGAATAATACATGCCTTTTTCCATATCACACCCAGTATCAACCCGAGACTGCAATATCAGCCCAAGGGCTGAAGGCCCGCGGGCTGATATTGGTCGAGGGCTGATACTGGGTGTGATATGGAAAAAGGCGTGTTTTATTCTGTTTATTACATACTTGCTATTAAAAACTACTATCTTATGATTTATTTTCATTTTTGAAATATTGAAAAATGATTTTTTTTCCAAATGGGGTGTGATATGGATTTGGGGGCTGATATGGGTTTTGGGGTGTGATACGGCGGGGGCTGATATGGGTTAGAGCAATTGTGTCGTATCGCATATTAAAAAACCCTTATTTATGAGTAAGTAATGTAATAAAAAGTAATACACAATCATGCAGACTAGCTGTATGCAGACTCTAGCTTTATGGCTTTTATGTTTTGGTATATGATAACGTAGATTAGCTGTAATGTTTTGAATGTGTAGTATGCAATTATGTGAAGTAGCGATATTGCTTCAACAGTGTAGTATGCAGTTATGCAAAGTAGCGATATTGCTTCAACAGTATAGTATGCAATCATGCTGAGAAGTGATATTGCTTCAACAGTGTAGAATGCAGTTATGCAAAGTAGCGATATTGCTTTGATAATATAGTAAACAATCATGCAGACTAGCTTAAGTACTTTGACATGGTAGTAAACCCATCATCCATCAGCGTTATTGCTTTGACAATTAAGTACACAATTATGCAAACTCTAGCTTTATATCTTTAACAGTGTTTAATATTATTCATAAATACATGTAGTGCTTAGACAATGGAACAGACTAGCTTTATTGCTTAACCATGTCAGTAGAATTATGCTTATAAATGAATTGATTTGAAAATTTGGTAGGCAATTGAGCAGATTGACGTTATTGCTTTAACAGTGTGGCATACAATTATGTGTACCGGTACTCTGTATTGACTTTACAATATGGTACACACTTATATATGTAGATAAGATAAATTGCCTTTGTAATACAGTTGGACACATACCAATATTTGCATTATCAATGAATAAATTGAAGAGTATCATATTTTTTTTTGTGAATGAAGTCCATGTCTTAAAAAATGCTTGTTGATCAAATGCTTGTTTATAACTTGGCTATTAATACCGACTAGAATGTCAGGAGAAACCATTATGTTTTGTACAAATTGCTGTTCAGGAACTCGTTAAGGCCATGCTGGATATAATTACAATGTTGCAGAATTTTAAGTATGTGTATGTATTAAGATGTTTTTTACTGTAGAATAATTATCAGTCTCAGAATAAGTCATTCTTTGACATGGAATAATAGAAGTTTCCAGATAGATTTTTTTCAACAAATATATCTTTCATTTTTTTTTCTTTTCTATAATGGTGTCTGAGTGTAGAATTGAGTTTGGGCCCAGGGTCATAAAAGGGGTACACCTGTGAATCACTGAAGGGGAAGGTATAGTCCAAAGTGTGTTTTTTTTTTATTTTATTTTTTAAATTTTAGTATTTTAAAGTATTTTTGACTTTTACAGTGTGAATAGAAGCTACATTAGGGGTTTAACATTGTTGCAATGTTTCATTCCTATAAATAGTAATTTACTTTGTTCATATGTGATCAATGTAAAATTTGTCTAGCCGGTTATAGTCACGTGTAAGATAAGCCCTCAGTAAATTAAGTATCATTGTGATATGTCCATGTTAGCATGTAGCTATTCCGTCTTTGCGTATTGCAGAGTTATCTTCTCTTGAGGGCAGGTATTGATTGTTACATCATTGGTTCGTGTGAGAAAATTACGTCGTTTTCTCAAAAATTGATGACGTTACTCTCACAAACAAATGACGTAACAACCAATACCTGCTCTCAAGAGAAGATAACTCTGCAATACGCAAAGACGGAATAAATCAATGGCTATTGAGATTTTTTATTTCTACTTTTCCAAAAATTTAAATAGTTTGAAGTTGACGGGTTATGAAATTTTAGGTAGTTGGAGAAATGCTAGGCAAACATGTGGGCTCTCTTATATGATAACATCTTGGATCAGCAGTGTAGTTACATACTTTTCCAAGTAGTCTGGGATATAACGGAACAAAGTAGCATACATACCAAGGTGAATGTTTTATTTCCTCAGGTTAATGTTGCTATTACTTGTATTAGTCTTTGTAGAAATGCTAACTGCTAAACTATTATTATTTCTACTTTACACAGGTCAAGCTAAAGGTCGACCCGTCAAAGGGGGTGTTGGAAGGGGGAAAAAACCTAACCGGTAGACCCAACTGACGATGGCGGTGCAGGAATCACCCCGATAGATCTGACCAGTGAACGGGTGTGTGCGGGGAGAGTAGTGATGCTGTAGGACTGTTTCACACACAAACTAGAGGCAAATCAAATGGCAGAATCTCAGGCGAATCCATAATTCTTTGGATTGGATGAGGATGAACAAAAGGATGTTAAAACATATATGCATAGTTATCTACAGGGATATTCAGGGAAGACAGTCTCTTTGACTACTGCATGGAGAGCAGTCAGCTTTAAAGAAACGCTTTTAATTTCTGTAGAAGGAGTGAAATGAAAGTCGAACCATAAGTAATAAAACGTCTCTGTTTTCTTAGTTTTCTTTGATGGGCTGTGTTTTGATTTGTACTGACATTATTGATCTGTAGACATTTAGGTGTGATATTTCTGGGCATTGCATAATGAACTGACTCAGCAATAGCCCTAGTCATTAATGTTCCTATGTAACTCTAGTGTATTTCTGATCTCATTTACGCATGCATTTCGTGATGGGGGATCAATTAATTTTGATACATTGTTGAAAGGGAAGCTGGAAGATGAAAAAGGAGGGATGAAGCATACACAAAAACAACAGCTTTATGTGACGAGTGTGAAAAAACCTACATGTTCACATTTTACAATAAAATGTTTGTATTTGTTCTGAAGTCAATACTCAGTGTGAGCTGATTGGTTAATTTTGTTTCATCTACATCTACAGGTCCAGCCATTACAGTAAGTACACCAACAGCTGTAGAACCTGTTAAATCTATATTAGATCAGGGTTCCGTTAGGTGTTAAATGGTTGTATACTGGCTGGACTTAGTATTCTATTGTTTCATTTTATTTGTAATTCCTATGTTGAACCTAGAGCGCTAATGTGTTTTGGTGTGGACATTCTTCTGGCTGTATATTTCAAAGAATACAGAGTTACGAATTATAATTTTCTGCTCTTTTAAAAGTCATTAATGTTTATGTACTTAATTAATTATAAGACTATACAGTTTTAGAGAATCACATCAACTAGAAAGAAAAGTTATAATTAGCAATCATCAGCATATTTCTATGGTATATCGTGCGAAAAATGTAATAGCTTGAAATGAAAGTGATTTATTACCGGTATGTATCTAATTAGCACTTTATAATGATAATAATAACTTGAGGTTCTTATATACCGCTTTACAGTGTACAGCCGGAGCTGCCATTTCGGAGCTAACAGCTAGCATTAAGCAATTCTAGCAATGCCCAACCATGTACTCATTTACAGCTGAGTAGACTGGAACAAGCGGAGTAAAGTATCTTGCTCTGTTCAAAGATACAGTGCCGTGCCGTGACTCGAACCCGCAACCCTTCGGTCACGAGCCCGGCGTCCTACCACTTTCAGAGTCTATCTGTTGTCTTCACTGAACATTCAAACATATTGTTTTGTACATAACACCATGGTGCAAAGCACTGTGAAATGGGCTCTGTCAATACCAGTATAAAATGATACTTTGATGATTGAGAAAGGTGTGTATAATTGACAGATTTCAATTTTTTTTTTTATTTAAATACAAAGTAGTGCTTTTGATATTTTGATTTAATTTGTGTATATATGTTCTAATTTGTAGTATACATGTACAAGTAGATACACAAAGCACATGTTGCATACACTTCGGGCGTGCTAGATTGGAAGGAAAATGTGTTTTGGAAGTACATCAAACAATGTACTCCTTTTCTTTTCAAGAAAACATCAAAGTGTTAGGAGTATGTTCAGAATACTCATTTTTCAGGCAAGAATGTAGAAAGCAAGATGGAACAGTGATCTGATTTACTCTTAATTATTAACCCTTTTAACCCTATATAACTTTAGTAGACTCTACCATGCATTGATCTGGACGAGTCCATTATGGTTTACAGTGGTGAAAGGGTTAATGCCCGTGTCCTGATGAACTTTAAATCGAGTACGCCCATGTGTCTTGATTAAATCTAAATCAGGCCGACCAAGTATCCTGATTTATAGCCGTCTTGCCTCATCCGTCCATAGTTACATAATAGGTAGGAATTCTATATTTAGTGCCAAAGTACCTACTGGTAATTCTCCTCTTTGTGGTACAGTAATGTAATTGGTAGTCGTAACAGGCTTTTAGGTCACGACTTTACATATTAAAGCATTTATGACGCAACTGACCCTGTGATATAGAGTACTGCGGTAATTATGTCTGATTAATATTTTTGTTATATGTAATTGGTGATATTAAACAAGACTTATGGGGTGGGGGTAAGGGAGAAATAAAAAAAACGAAAACCAGGGCTTGTTTAGAGGGAAGGATCAATGATACTCTATACATTATATTTTGTAATTAAATCAAATGGTGAAAAATTGAAATCTTGCATTGTGAAGTGAAAAATTGAATGCAGCAATGTGGAAGATAGGTGTTGAATTTGAAATAAGTATTTTACCAAATTAAAGAAACAAATTTGCACATATTCATACCTCAGAACTGCTTAGAATTCCTATAAATTAAAAGTAACAAGAATTTATTCTTAACCATTTCCTGCACGCTTATCATAATGAGCCAATCCTTCAGTTTGAATTGAAAAGTGAAATGTCATTTTTTTTTCTCGTTTTCAAAATAGTTGACATCATTGGTGCTATATATGTTGGACTTTCTCACTAACATGGAACACTAGGAGCAAACTCCCAATATTTGTGTAATGGAAGTGGAAGATTGAACAACATATATTTATAGAGAAAATAAATACCTGATGTCTATATATGGTCATGGTACATCATTGTTCAGAACTCCTTGTGTCCAGCTTTGTGGTAGGGTTTGGACAATGCTGATTGTATGAGTCATCACTCCCAGATTTAACTTATTTCATCTTTACACCACTAATATGTATTGGCAAATGGTTTCTGTAAAGTTTCACAGATTTAATATGTTTTTAAGATATATGTAGAACTTTTGACATTTTAGAACTGTTCATTTTTCAAATTATATTGAATTGTAATATTTGCGATGATATACAATGGTAAACTAGTTGATTAGAAGCGTATGCTCAGAACGTACTCGCGTTATTCACAGGCACTTTAAAGAATACAAATTTTTGTGTAATGAAAATGTAGTATTTGTAGATTAAGCTGTGAGGTCGTATGCGCAGAAATTAATCTGACCCCTCCCAATGATCATCATCATCCGAGGAAAGTTTTTCTCCAATTGTGTTTTTTTTGTACAATACATGTACATGCGTGATATATTCAATTCAATTTCAAGTAATTCTTGTGTCATTGAGATTTAAAATTCAATTTTGATGAAAAAGTTTTTCTTTTTTTCTTCTTTGATACACTTTATTTGTTTTGTCAAAATATTTGTGTTGTTTGTTAAATTGTCTTTTCTCGATACATTCCTATTGTATTACCCTATGCAGCTGATTATGTGTGGTATGGAGTACCACTACGCTATTACAAATGTTATATACCGTATGTCCATGTACATGTTATTGGACAAAACTAAGTGTCCAGTGGTAGGGGAAGTTCAGTAGATCTGATTTAAACAAGACTGAGCTTCCACTTATCACGGAGACACTGTAAGTCTGACCTAAAATTTAGAGACAAATTTTCCACCAGATGTGGTTTTAGAACTAGTTTGGTTGATTTTTGTTATAAATGTACATTATTGTAGTGTTGTTCTATGGTCAACACTGCTGCACAGTAGATGTTCAATCTTTGCAACACTTATGAAAATAACACCAATAAATTATTTATACCATATGCTCTGTGTTGTGTGATTGTTTTAAATTGAATTTTGTTGTGTGTAGGTGTCTACACATTAGTCTGATTTTGTGTATTCAGTTTAATGGTTTCAACTGGCTAAACCTGAAAGAAATTGATGGCACAGATCGAGACCCAAACCGACCTCTGCAAAATTGTGTGTACATATATAGAAGGGTAATCAGACATGCCTGGCTGTAACTGTAAGACTGACTATTGCTAGTTTGCTGTATTTCTTCATAAAAAAAAGAAAGTTCATACACGTTTTAAGACCAGTTATGAAACTTGGTACACGGGTGGAAGAAATGCATACACCACTGGAGTTAGTTAGTCCGAAGGACTGGTGAGCTTGTCATGGGGCGGCCCAGTAGAGATTTTATCAAAGTTTTGCCTGGAGCATCCTTGGGTAAAGGAGACTAAATTTTTGCATAAATAGAGGGAGTGGCCCCTCTGACTGCAGAGGGGCGGGGCCAAATAGGGGAATTTGAGGTTTAAATCTTTAAAATCTTTCTTCTTCTGAACAGTTGGAAAATTATCCAAATTTAACCTGAAGATCTTTAGGCAAAGGGGATAAAATTTTGTTTAAATGAAGGGTGTGGTCCCTCTGGGTACAAAGGTATGGGGCCCAATAGGGGAATTTGAGGTTTAAAACCTAAAAAAAAACTTCTTCTGTACTGTTGGAGGGATTTTAATCAAATTTGATCCAGAGCATTCCTGGACCGGGGAGGGGTGGGGGGAGGACCTAAGGGAGTGTGTGGCCCCCCTGGGGGAGTGAGGCCCAATAGGGTGAACGTATTAATAAATTATTACAAACCTTCTCCTTAGTATGATCCGAGGGATTTTAAACAAATTTAAAAGGGTATGTGGCCCCCCCTTGGGGCAGAGGGGTGTGGCACAATAGGGGAAATTCAGTATATCTTTAAAATCCCTCTTCTTCAGTTTGATTGGAGGATTTAACCAAATATTGTGTAGAGCATCCTCGGGTGAAGGGGACTCAAGTTTGTATTAAACAGAGGATGTGGCCCACTTTGGGGAAGAAGGGCAGGGCCCCAACAGGGGAACTTGTGTTAAATCTTCAAATATCTTTCTCCTTCTGTACCATTGGAGGGATTTTAACCCAATTTTGTGTGTTATCATGGAATATTTCAGTGTCACCTGGATTCTTTCAACCAAAACAGACATTTCTACACCTGCTTGATGAGAGAAATCTAAAACACCCGTGAAATCAGAGACAAAAGTCTCTAGAATGACACCAACAAGAAGGATGTGTTGTAGATTTGTTTATTAATCGTAAATGTCATGAGACGGAATGATATCAATCAAGACTAGTAACAAATATACTACTGGCAAAAGTCTAACGGTAATGGATAAAGGGAATGCTGAGGTAAGGCACGACAGAATTACTGAACGGTAAACCCTTTACACAGTAATCCGTAACAACGGTCAACAGAATACATCAAAAATGGCCAGAAATTCTGAGATTCATATACGCTTCCCTACAGGATCAGAATTATTTAATAGCTAATCGGAAAAAAATCGGCGATGGACAACATTGTTTTCATTGCTGAAAAGAAGTCTTTCATACAAATAATGAAGATGAATCTAGACTGACATTAATTATCAGGCTCTTTTTATGGCTAACACAGCCTAGAAGCGTCCATCGTTTTTAGATATATTTTCCTTTTCCTCATTCCTTTTTCTCCAAATATACTATAAATTACTTAACTACTTATCTTTATAATTCATTGTTCTTCCAACTACAATATCGTAAACATTATATTGCTCATTTCATTGTATTCAATTTATATTCAAGTAAGTGATGTTTTCTTGTTGGGAATAAATAGAAAAAAATAATATCTTGTTAAATATATTCATTATTTACTGTAGCTGTAAATTGTTACATGGACTGGCCAAGTCTGTGATAATAAAGCACTTGTTACCTCCCTTGATATGAGCTCTTTAGTATATCATACTCTACATGCCTTTGACTAGAGACAGACTGGAATCACATGATTTTATAATTAAGCAAAAACTATTTAAGCATTAAATGTAAAAAAAAAATACAACATCTAAATCTAAATAAATTGATAAACTTAATTGGACTGACAGGCATTACCTCTGTGATGTAATAAACATCAAACTGCCAAACCAGATACTATTTTGATGTTTATAAAGAGGCCCCTCTCTTAGGATAAGAAGCCCCACCCTCAGGGATTAAGTTTGATGTTAACATAGAAATTAACATTTAGAGATATTAGATGTCTACAAGGAGTCTCTACACTAAGGGATTACACGTTGATGTTTAAAATAGGGTTTAAGATATCCCAATCCTTGTTACACTGATGAGATTTTACATACCGGTAGTTTTAGTGATCATTTCCATTAAAAAGTATATCTCTCAAGTTTTCTGCTAGTTCGAACAACAAATATTCAGCTTCGATTTATATATTAAATCAAAGGTAGGAAAAATTATCTTTTTGTTAGTTTTTTCACTGGATGCAGAAAGAATTCCTATTTAAAAAAAATAAAAAAATCCACACAACTGGGCCAAATAGCTGTGTCAATTTTTGAGACCTGGGCCAAATAACTGAGTCAATTTCACACACCTTGGCCAAATAGCTTTGTCAATTCTTGGGACCTTAAATGACCAAATAATTGAGTCAACTTCACACACCTGGGCCAAACAAATAAAGTCAATTTGAGAGAACCGAGTCTAACAAAGGAGTCAATTTGAGAGACCGGACCTAATAATAGAGTCAATTTCGCATATTTGGTCTTATAACCAGAGTTATATGAAAATCACTGATAAATAAGCCTATTGTCTGATATAACTCCTGTTGTCTGATGTAACTCTGTAACTTGCAATAAAACACCATCAGTAGGCATGTAATGAGGTTTAACAATATAAATATATCATTAATATCTACTTCATCAGATCTACTCTAAGGGTATATACAATTAGCACTAAACAAAAATAGCATAAATATCATTCATACTGCACCGACTCACAAAATAATCCCGTCTGTATTCACTGATATGTAGTGAGATTTAACCGATATGTTTTAAATATAAAATTAATGTCTACTGCATCAGATCTACTCTAAGGGTATTATATACAATTAGCACTAAACAAAAATAGCATACATATCATTCATACAGCTTACTGCACCGACTCACAAAATAACCCCGTCTGTATACACCCGATACGTAGTGAGGTTAAACCGATATGTTTTAAATATATAATTAATAACTCGAATCAGATCCAACTAAAACATACATAAAACAACCATGTATGTAATAAATTAACACCTAACACAAATAACATTAAATTGAAAACAACAATCTCGCATGCACATTTCATCACTTGAGTATTACATTTCAATCACTATATGGCTACCAATTGATTGAGTTTGTTGTCATGACCACACCACACTAGGCAAATACTGTAAATACAGACATGTATGTAATCTCTGGACTACAAAGAGCCTATTCAGTAGAGGTAGAAGTTCAGTACAGAAACTCAATATGGCTATTTCTTGGGATAATGAAGAGCTTTAGAAAGACTTGTCTCTACGATATTGGTAGACCTGGGAGTTCTGGAACTCAATCTCCTTACACTCACTAACACCTCTGTCAATGGCTAAATGCCAAGAATGTTGGCAATGTTTTGAAAATCTATTTTAGCTCAAGGTATTATGTCTTTCAGCAATGTTTTACATAAGCAATTGATTAAAATCTTCATTTCTCCCAAATATGCCACTGTAAGACAACTTTCAGCACCATACCGAAAGGATTTACTTTTATGCACTATTGTGTAATGGTATCTTGGTATGTACGTATGCCACATAAACAGAACCACATTGTTAACACATGTTCAATTCATGATGAATGTGAGGGATTATACTATCAATACTGCAAAGAAATTTGAGCCAGGGTTTTGTTTAAGAGGGCAAACAGGTTAAAGCATTGGAATATATATTGCAGAAAAATTGACATTCCGGTGAATTTACCTGATGATAAAGTGGTTGGTCTAGCCAAAGGCTACCATATTGTACGGTTAATTTGACGGCACTTGATGAAGTGGCACATGATCTTAAGAGGCTAATTATAAAGCAGAGTAATATTTTCAGCCGTTGACAGAGGTTTTAGTGAGTGTATAGGATTGACAAATCTGAGTAGAGATTGTTTGGTAACTCTGTAGAGAAAATATGGTCTTCATGACTGGTCATCGGTAGGCCTAAGAATTCTATAAAGGCACTTCCCATATGACTGATTATGGTCAGTTACACTGTCACACTGACCTCTGGACAGTGTCCAGTCTCACCCTTGTCCATTTCCATACTAACAAAGCCTTACTCACATCCAGTATAATATCGGGACAACTGTCCAGTGTCATCTAAAATTGATTTCAATAAAAATTTGACTAATACATACATATATAGGAACATGTACAATGTACATCAGATTCATTTTGTATTAAAAAGGATACAATTAGCAATAACTACAACAAAGTCAATACATTGCGATTACAATCAAAATGGCCTCATAGAATAAGTCATCAACCAGATTCACTTGACAGATAACAGTTCCACTTCGTTCACTCTCAGTACTCACTACTCAGACTCCCTGTACACGACGTGAAATATTACGGAATGTTTAAGGATAAGAAGTTTGATATGTTGTCAGTGTAGTTCTAGGTCGCACCACTAGATCGCACCACCGGGCTCTGGACGGGGACTGGCACTGCCTTTTGATGACCCGCGCCGTGATCCAGAAGCTGAAATATTCAAAGCATTCACAATGATTATTATTTCCTCATCAGGTATACATAGACTTCCTAAAACATCAGACCCTGTAAAACACTTAACACATGTACAGGACACAGCCAGGAATCTATCTAGAATAGGTGGGGAATATACTTTTTTTCGTAAAATAAAGGTAAATATGAAGGGGAGAGGGTGTATCTTGAAGTATAAGTATTATGAACAGTCATATGCAGAAACTCATGGCATATTGACCCTTTCACCCCTATGTAACTATAGTAGACTCTACCATGCATTGATCTGGATGAGTCCATTATTGTCTACAGTGGTGAAAGGGTTAAACAAGATTTTGTTTTGGTAATAATAAATGGTAGGGAATACTGACTGGATTAATTCCTGAACTGTATACAGTATCGTATCTGTTAATTATACACCTAGGTCAATACACTTCTCAACAACTCGGACTCATATGTTATATAATAATTGTTAAAAAACAACCAACAACCTAAACACATACAGTACTCAACAACAATATGCCTTCTGAAATATTTATCTTTTGTTGGCCACACCTGTTACACCACATTTTCCTGACATTTAAGAGTTAACCCTTTCACCATTATAGACCATAATGGACTCATCCATATCAATGCATAGTAGAGTCTATTAAAGTTACATAGGGGTGAAAGGGTTAAGAAACATGTATTTAGACACTTGCTCTATATTCACAGGTACTAGCCTCGTCTGAGAATACACCTATAATATAATAGTTGTTTTGACAGACGAGGCTAGTACCTGTTTTATATTTAAGACACATATGTTTAAACACTTGTTTAATTTACAATTAAGGATCTCAGACCCACTGCACTGTTTTTTTTTTGCATATACATGTACAGTAATTATAGCCTCCCCATAAGCTTCCATTTGGATATAACTGTAGTACAGTTAAGCAAGGATACATCCGTTGACAAGATAGCTCAGTTCCTTAAAACTAAAGTAGACCTTAGCTTTAACCGTTTCACCCCTAGGTAACTTTAGTAGACTCTACCATACATTGATCTGGATGAGTCCATTATGGTCTACAGTGGTTCGAATCTCGGTCTAGCCCCTCTACATACTTTTACACTATGAACACTGTGGTTGAATATATTTTGTTTATTTAATCTTCATTATTTTTCATACAAGTTCCACAAGGTATTTGTTATTTTCACGAATTGTTTTATCAAAGCAAGAGTCATTTGTCAAAAATCATTTTCCACTGCGTAGGTACAGTTTTTGGCAGTGGGACGGGGATCCTTATACATTAAGATACTTGCACTGTAGTTAAGACATGTTTTGACACTAAATGCTCAACAGTTAAGACATATATTTAAGACTTATCAAATCTACTGTTTAGACATTTTACTTTTAAGACACTTGTTAGACACTTTCTTTACAGTTAAGACATACTTTAAAATTTTCTGAACAGCTAATACACATTATTAGACAAACTATTACTGTATAACATGAAATGTTCGTGGTGTATAATAAACATTGGTGGTTTTCGTGGTTGCTATGGAACCACGAAAATATATACAAGGAAATTGAATGATATTCTTGTCTACTGTTTGTTAATTAAGGATATCCATGAAAGTTTGTACCACGAAACGATTGGAATGGCTTCAAATTAAACCATGAAGGAAAGTCCCCATGAACATTTCGTGTTATACAGTAGGTGTTCCGACACTTGTATGGCATGGGTTCAGATGCCCGCTTTACACTTGTTAGGTACTTTCTGACCGATTACTTATTTAGATATTTGCTTTACAATTAAGATGTATGTAGACACAGACATGACTGTTTAGACACGTTTGTAAAATATAACACCACAGGTAAGGTATACAAAGTGAAATATTTGTATTTTTATTGAATCTAGTGTTTACCAAGAGTCAACTTTAAAATTTCCGATGTTCTTGTTCAAAGCAGAAGATCCTTCTTTTTAAATTCTTACCGTTCATTTGTAAATTCGTGCAAAAATTATGACATAGCATATGATAGCTGTTCTCTGACGGATAACAACATGTTGATTAGGGAAACAATGTATTTCTATATATATTAATGAGTTACATGACATGTTTGAAAATAGACAATAATAAATAAACTTTCCAATTTAAGAAAATTTACACTCAGAATAAATGTTTAGAAAATGAATTTTTTACTTTAAAAAACTTCATAACCTCTAAAATCATCTAACTGTTGATTGTATTTGCAAAAGTTAACGAAAAAATTTCTGAAAGTAGTATCCAGAGAAACATAGCCTTTTACCAGGTAAGTATACCCTACTTCAAGTTAAATCTGATATAATATCAGCATCGTATAACATCTATATTAGTAAAACAAGCCATACCATACTAACTCTAAACACTGAGACACTTGATGTCTACGAGACATCAAGGACTGACAACAAACAGTTAAGAGTGTGTCCTTAGCATGCAGCACTAGCAGACAGTGGGGGATCCAGGGGCTCTGACGGGGTTCCACAGACCTTATAAAGGGTTAACAGAGTACTCTCTCTCTTCCCATCAAATTTTCTTGAAAGATATTTTGAGTTTTTTTCAATACTGGTTTTAAAAAATCCCTTGTTTAAATTCAATACAGTGATTTCTTCACTATTTTGATTTTGAGACATTCCTGATTTTAACTCTATTCAGTAATATTTGAGACATCCCTGATTTTAACTCTATTTAGTAATATTTGAGACATCCCTTATTCAAACTTTATTCAGTAATATCTTCACTATTTTGATTTTGAAACATCCCTGATTTTAACTCTATTCAGTAATATCTTCACTATTTTGATTTTGAGACATTCCTGATATAAACTTTATTCGGAAATATCTTCACTATTTTGATTTTGAAACATCCCCGATTTTAACTCAATTCAGTAATATCTTCACTATTTAGATTTTGAAACATCCCTGATTTTAACTCTATTCAGTAATATCTCCACTATTTTGATTTTGAGACATTCCTGATATAAACTTTATTCAGTAATATCTTCACTATTTTGATTTTGAAACATCCCTGATTTTAACTCTATTCAGTAATATCTTCACTATTTTGATTTTGAGACATCCCTGATTTAATATCTTCACTACTTTGATTTTTGAGACATCCCAGATTTAAACTCAAAGGTGTCTTTTTCAGCATCTGGATCCGCCACCGTTTTATTGCTGTACATGTGTCAACAACATCAAACAGGGGAGACAATTAATTGTGTCTATTTTCCTCGCTTATCACCTTTTCTTGTTATACACACAAACTCCATGACTACAAACTATAGAATGTCAAAGGTCACACAAGGTTATTTATTAAAAATAAAAAATGGTTTCTTTCCAACACTGTTACGTTGTGGGTGGAAATAACACACATTAATCAGCATTATTGTAAGTTACGTGCTGTATACACAGGGTCAAAGGTCACAAACAACATACATGTCATTATATTTAGTAACTGAGTAAAAGTACAAACAAAAAAAGGTCAGAAGTCATAAAAATATATAACACCATGTCCATGTACTTGTTATTTGTTAAGATCAAAGGTTGGATTGGGAAGGTAAACAAGAGGCCTATGGGCCTTAACGGTCACCTGAGTTCTGATGTATTTATACAGAGAGTTGCTTTTTGTTTTTAAAACATGAACAGAAATATTATTCAAAGTGACAAAAAAAAAAAAACCCACCTTATTCAATATCTAGCGTATAGATTTAAGACTGAAAAGTATTTGAAACTAGCTCCTCTGATTCTAAACAAGGAAAATGAAGAAATTTTAGCACACTGACTCCTTTGGGCCCCGTAGGGCTGGCTCAAAATTTTCAAAGTATCAAACTGTCAACTAAGGGTTATAATTCCAATCAAGTTATCAACATCCATTTTTGTGCGCAATCAGTCAATTCAACCCTTTTTGGCCCCACCCATCAGCCCCTAGGGGTCAGTCAGGGCTGATATGCACATACCATCAAACTGCTATCCAATACTGATAATGCTAACCCAAATTGAATAACTTCCAATGGAAATTAAACAAATGTTGGTCCAAAATGTGATTTCCCTATATAAACTATAGTAAAGTTTACCCCCTCCCCAGGGGGAAATGTGAGACCCCAGGGTCAAGAAATTCACAATTTTGGTAGAGCACCTTGAAACCCTTCCATCTATGGAGAGCATTTGATTCTACCATATCTGGGTCTTGAGAAGAAGATTTTCGAAATTTCAGTCAATTCAACCCTTTTAGGCCACACCCATCAGCCCCTGGGGGTCAGTCAGGGCTGATATGTGCATACTATCAAACTGCTATCCAATAATGAAAATGCATACCCAAATTGAATTACTTCCAATGGAAATTAAAACAAATGTTGGTCCAAAATGTGATTTCCCTATATAAACTAAAGTAAAGTTTACCCCCTCCCCAGGGGGAAACGTGAGACCCCAGGGTCAAGAAATTCACACTTTTGGTAAAGCACCTTAAGACCCTTCCATCTATGAAGAGTACCAGTATTTGATTCTACCATATCTGGATCTTGAGAAGAAGATTTTTGAAATTTTAGTCAATTTGACCCTTTTTAGACCCGCCTCTTAGGCCTCTGGTGGCAGGGGACCATATAATTCACAATTGTGGTTGACTTTTGTCCATGAAAGGTTTCTGTAAAATTTCATTGAAATTGCTTTAGGGGTTTTGGAGAAGAACTCGAAAATGTAAATTGTTTACGGATGCACGCCGCACGCTGGACACCGGTTGACGCACTTAGCACTACGCCTGACAAAAGGCGATAGCAATAGGTCACTTGAGACTTTGTCTCAGGTGACCTAAAAAGGTCAGAGGTCATAAAAATATATAACACCATGTCTATGTACTTGTTATTTGTTAAGATCAAAGGTTGGATTGGGAAGATAAAAAAAAAAATCTAAATGTCGCATTGGAATTGAAAACAATACTGAGTAAAGGTGATAACTGTGTAAGACTACCTTACCAGTGTTTCATGTTCCTGTTAAACCAAACAATTCCAGATTAGGAGCTACACCTCATGGTTTGTTGAATTGTGATTATAACTTACTGAACTACTGATGATATAAAATTTTAAAATTTTTCTGATTATATTTTCATGAAAAATGTCCAGGTTACAGCAAATATTGAAACATATATCTGCCAAATTTTACACAACAATCCTGTGTTGCAGATATGACAACCAGCAACATTCATATATCATAGTAGAGTAATGGCAATGAGGCAGACATAATTATGTCAATGTATTAATGTAGTATATGTACTTGATGACTTATTATGACACCAGAAGTCCTATCTGAATGACCAATGAAGTCAATCATATTTGAATGAGTTGTCACATTAGAGATCATGTTTTATCGTGAACCATGCGTACCTGACTTTCCCGCGGAGCTTGGCCGTGGTCCCGACTCTGAGAACTGTGGTGGCGGAGGAGCACTGCTGCTGATCGAGCCGCGACTAGTCGGACGTTTGGAGCTGTCGGGAGTCCTGGGTAGCTTTGGAACCCCACCGCTCACGTCTGGGGTACGGGGAATCTTAGGGCGGGAACCAAACGCCTGGGTATACTCCTTACCAACCCTGTTAACATAGGACGTGTACAGCTGTATTGACCTCAGCACACCTTCACATACACAATACATATATATTTCCGCACACCTTCACGTACACAATACATATATATTTCAGCACACCTTCACATACACAATACATATATATTTCAAGGCCTGCATTTTTCTTACTTTTTAAAGCCTCACCATATAAATTAAGTTCAACTGATATGCCGTCAAACTTTCCCAAGCAACCACCTCTAATAAGAGACCACCTTTGTCAACAGATCACATTAAATGTTCTGCACTTTAGTGATTAATTGTGAATTGAACCTGTATTGAGAAACCACCTGTGTTCAAATGCTATTTTTTCGTCTCTCTTGGGGCGACCTATTCAAAAAAGTTTGTCTGTGTTATATATTACGTAGAAATCATCTATAAATTTCCCATGGCTTACACTTGTGAGGCCTTGCTTGGCGGACGGAGACTTTTTTGACTAGCCTGGCTAGTTGGCCGTTCACTCTCTGCACGTGAATCTCCTCGGTCTCCGTCACGTGACATGCCTCGGGATGGCCCTCCGTCACGTAACGGGCCTCGGGATGGCCCTCTTAGTCCTGGCTGTGCGAGACTTTCCTGTGTGGACGGACGACTACCAGATCGTGTGGGAGGACGGTCTAAGCGAGACGGAGTGGCCTGACGGGACAGACTGGACACAGCTCTGCTCCTGGAACATCATAAACAAATGATCAATACTTTTGTCTAACGCCTGACTGCATAAAATAACAACACTGAAAACTTTGACACTTACTTACTGTATGAAGAATAGAACTGGTTGGAGACTTACCCTGCCTGTGAAGGGTGTGGTGAATCGGTACCCCTACGCTGACTAGGCGTGACTGGTCGCTGAAGTGGAACCTGTTGGGCCATTACTGTGTCTGTGTGCTAGAACAACACAAAAATGTTACAGCTGTAATGATTAAGTCAAATACCAACTTTAAACTTCAAACTTTTAACAATTTAGTAATATTACTTAACTGCTGCCAAATCTGGTTACCAAACATTAAACTATCCTTGATCTGAAATATGATGTGACAGAATCGTCTAGAAAACATGTGCTTAGGATCTTACTCTTTCACTAAACAAACAAGACCCAACAAGAGTCCCCTTTAATTCTCTCAATGATCATACTCCATATACCATGGAGGTATTTTCTTTTTTCCTCTTTGAGGAATTAGTTGTGTCTCTTACCCGTTTCTTGGGTTTGGAGCCCACACCTGGGGCTTGGTAGTCTGTGGTGAGAAGCTGTTCACCACAAAGTTCATTACCCTCCGGTCGTATCGGCTCATCCTTGTCAAGGTCAAGCTCCATAGCATCTTGATCCTCCTGGTAACAAATCAAACATTATCAGGACTCTGATGTATGAGAATCATGACGGCAAATTATAAAAGAAACATCTATTTAACAGTGGGTGAAGGAGGATGTTTTGGTATTGAAGTAATATAATTTCATTTATATGAACCAACCATAACCAGAAATGTTGTACCGATTAAAGAGAATGTTTACTGTCTCTGTAAAACACCTCCTTTTCCAGAAGAGTTCCACATTAAGACATTTAATGACCGATAATTTGGGTTTGAGCTTTCTGCCCCACATATAACATGAATTAGTGTGTAAGAAAACAAAATGTTCTTGATTTTTATAACAAATCAGGCATTAACTCTTTCACCCCTGAAGACACATTTTGACTCTTCCAATTCAAAGGTTGGAACAGTTCATTATGAATTTCAGGGGTGAATGAGTTAAAATAGCATTATTTTATGTTTGTATGTGTAAAAAAATAAAATGGAATTCTTCAAACCTTTGTAAGGTTCATTTATCACTTACACTGATACACTTCTAAATGTACTCAAAAGGGTAGCTAAACATTTTATACAATATAAACTGTTGTCTTTCTAACAATTGAATTTAATATTGTTATACTAACTTTTATTGAGATATCTATGTCAGTGTTTTACTTGAAATGATTTATGATTTCCTCCCTTATCCTGTATTTTATACATGCATATTTCTTAAAGCTGTAAATATTGTATATTTTATCATACATTGTATCTTGCCCATAAGTAAGATGAGCTTCATGCTCAATATGTTATCAAGAATAAATAAAGCCTTTATTATTTTTATAATTAGCAAAGAGAATCAATGATGAACTCATGTATTGCTCTTATATTCAGTTACATAACTGTATAAGCAAATGATTTTTTTTATCTTTGAATATAAATAAATAGCCAATGGAAAGTTTATTGTATAAATAAATAGTATAAGCAAAAATAATGTGATTAACAGCAATTTACAGGAAAAATGGTATGGTATAAAGTTCTATACTTAGTTTGGACCCGATATAAAAACTACAGTCACTATCATTATGGTGATCTAATATAACTATTCTCAATGGTCATCCAAATTATCTACTCCATTGGGATTCTGTGATATCAAAAGTGACTACAATAGACATACAAATTCTGTATTAAGTTGGGATCTTCTAAAATTACAGTAACTACGGTGATATAAAGTTTAAACTAAGTTGGATCCTAAATATCTACAGTTACTACAGCAAATATACTGATTTTATAGCGATTTCACTATAATAGTTACTGTTACAAGCTCTTTACCTAATTGGAATCCTATACAACCCAAATTACTGAAGAGATACATATTTTGTATTTACAAAACTATACTCGGTTTTGATCCCTTTTGAAATTTGGACCCTATGAAACTAGTTACTACATCAACAAAAATTCTACAGCTTAGTTGCTATGACGATAGCTCCTGTCTAAGGGGAGGAATTAAGCAATATCAGCATGTATGTATTATATTACTTGGTTACCTGCCTCGACTAATTAATTCAGCTGATAGTATAATTGTAAAGCCAAGGCAATGCAAAATGGATCAATGATAAATGGATACATTCAAAAATAAGAAACAAAAAACTATTTATACTTGTCAAGGTAATCTCCATTGAACATTTTACTGAACAAATATATACTTAATTCAAGGGTAATGTTTGATTGTTATATTGATATAATATTGATTTTGATAAACAGATAATTTTTTCTCTGTCACTCTCATTACTGTTAAAGAATGCCAGCAGGGAGATCACTAAAGAACACAAAACCCAAATAATGCCGAACGCTGAACACTGCATGTATTGAGCATTTTTATGAAGGAAAGTTTTTCAGTTTATCAAATTCTGCCTTGGTAACACAGTAAAATAAGATGGAGATACCTTGTTAACTAGCCTTACCATAAATTTATAGTCCTTTATACAAACAAAACAAACTATTAATAGGGTTTCAGTAAATAAACACATATTGCCTTCAAATCAAATAGGAGAGAATTCTAACATAAAATACACTGGTTTTTATATACATCCAGGTATCACTGAGCAATACTAATCCCCTCTGGTTCTTTGAAGTTGGGGGGATTACACTACAGTGCTTGAAGACGAACATATTGATCAATCTGTACTATTTAACTTATACATGTAGTAATATTAACATTCCTCGAAATTGAAAAACAAGTCAAATCAAGTGTTTTGGATAAGGAAGTCCTGTACCAAGTTTAATTGTATTAAAAGAGTCATTATGAGGAACCTGACTTTCTATATATACCAGTAGTAACATAATGACCTTAACCTTTGAACTTTTGACCCGAAAAGCAATCCTTTGCCAGCGTTCCGACAAGGATACCATGTATAAAGATTAATTATATAAAGATTTCTGTAAATTTTTAGGATGAATGAACTAGATCTAAAGTCATCATGTATAAATACTGTATAGTTTTATTGATCAGAAATTACACCTTTCTGCTCCCATACAAGTAGGATAAGACAATATACACAGGCTGATATTTTCAAACAAGTCTGCCCCAACATAATATTTCAAGACCACCAGTTTACGACTTTGATGACACAACTAATATATTTGAACACACGCACTAACTTAAGGCGCCATCTGTACTTACCTCTTCCTCCTCTTCATCTTCATCATCAGATGCGTATTCATCAACTGTTTCCGCTAAAATAAAACAACATTTTATTACAAGATTTAAATCAATAGAAATATCTATATCCATATAGTCCATTATACAAATATTCAACTGGTTGATTTAATCAATATGATTATGAATATGGTATGAATTGTTAAATATTTAAGTGGTGTGACCATTCCTGACTACTTTTAATATCTTATAATACAGTGTTACATAATTCCACTTCATCACATTAAAATCAATCTGTTCTAGAGGGAGGACTAACTTGAGTTGAGTTGTTTGATGATGAACTCGATCTGTCGGTTCATATCTGGCTGGTCCTCTTTGATAAAACACCGTAGGATCTCCTCCATACCCTGTAAAACAACAGTTAGGATTAGGACACAGTAGGATTAGGACACAGCAGTCTAGACACTACAAGGGAACTCAACATCCTGGTTATAGGGATAAGTGTTCTGCTGAGTGCAGTAATCCTCTGTTGTAGAGTAGAGGAACTAAAAAGAGTGTTTTCAGGGGAGATAAACACAACCAGCAGGCAAATTTCCATAAGATATATGTTTGATTATAGCCCCTTTGGCATATCTGGTTCAACCAGTTGAATCTGAAAGAAAACGACAGGCGGAGATCTGAACTGAGGCTGACCTCAGGAATATTCGGCACGTGTAGATTGAGGGGTCCAGACCTACCTGACCGAAACTAAAATGCTGACTATTGCTAGTTTGTGTTATTTCTTTCCAAAACAAGGTAAATCAACAAGTAAATTTTAAGATACTTTACATCATTTAGTGGACTCATGAAAGAAGGACATTTACTTGATACAATGTTGTTTATTCTCCAAAACTGTGCTTTTTTAGCTCTGCCTATAGTTCGGTCCATTGTGGACTATTTCTACACAACCTGAACTGTTTCAACCAAGATACGCGAATGCGACATAGGTCATTGTAACAGAAAGATAAACAATGAAAACTACCCATCTGAAATAAACCGTATGACCCTTATTTCTAAAATAAAAGCTCTAAGGAAGTTTTATACTCACCATAGCTTTTGCCTCTTCACGAATTGAAGGAATGGCTAGAATACTGTATAGGGCGCCGTTCACATACGGCCGGATCTGTAACCAGCAATTGATAGCAAGGATTTATCTCTGTTGTAGCAACATATTTCCATGTAAAACAACTCCTTTATTATAAAATCCTTCACTACTATGTCCAATATGTATTGCAACACCCTATACAATAACAAAGATCAATTTGAATATGTAATGTAGATTATTTTCAAATACTGTAAAAGTTGAAATTTTCATGGTGTGGAAATACTCAAATTTTTCGTGTTGAGGAAATTAGCACAGAAATATTTACATTTCAAATATGCATTTTCAGATTACAGATATAGAACAATTATATTACAGAACCATAGAAAATGTGAAAATGTCCATACCATAATCTGGTTAACAACTCAAACATTTCCCACACACAAGTATTTACACTTTATGGTAATATTTCATCTAGAATGATTTGTTGCTTCTGCCATTTTTCCAGAAGTCTAAAACATATTGCGGTGAGGAAGTGTCTGCTTCCAATGGTTTTGTTGTTGTGTTCTTGATTATTATTTGGTCAAAAATATACTTCAATTTCTTTCTGTGTTAGATCATGATCAACTTTAAGTAGCTGTTGTCAGCTCTAGAGAACTAATTGCAAAATATTTTGACGTCAATGTTATCAAAGTTCAGTGAAATTTTGATTCTACTCCATAAGGCATTGTACGTATTTACTAGGTATGCATTGAATATTGTCCGTTCTGTGAACGTATTGTCCGTTACCCGAGGACCAGTGACTAACCTGATGTGCTGTGATACAACATGACCAGTGGCTTACCTGAGGACCTGCGACACAACAGGACCAGTGGCTTACTTTACGACACAACAGGACCAGTGGCTTACTTTACGACCTGCGACACAACAGGACCAGTGGCTTACTTTACGACATAACAGGACCAGTGGCTTACTTTACGACCTGAGATGCAACATGACCAGTGACACAGAATATTGTCCGTTCTGTGAATTGACACCCTTGTTAAAGTGTTAAAATGATCTAGAATGGAAGATCGTAGCATAACAAGGTAACACTTCAAACCACTCTCAGCATGATTTAGGAATCTAAGTGTCAAGACACAGGTTTCAAAATGTCCTGTCTGTGACAGCACTAATACTGTTTGTACTGACCTCCTGATTTTCATGACCCAGAAGGTCACTGAGCACTTTCAATGTCTGGTTTGCGTGGGTCACACATCGTTTCTTTCCTGTGTGTGAAACATCAAATCATACAACAATTGTTAGACTTTATAAATTTGAATCTTGAAACATCTAACACATATTTAATTTACACTTTATATATAGAAAGAAAATCATTAACATATGGCACATTTGGAATTAAAGTAACACTTGAAAACATCATCATTTACACAGAGTATTATATAAAGTTGATCCCCCTTATTACTATCCTGTCTCTTAAAAGGCAACCATTTTCTTGTCCTGACAAAGAATTTTACTACACACTTTTAATCTAGTAAGAGGCAATTATTTAACAGACCAATTTGAAGCCTTCTGTTGAGAGGTCTCTCAATACATTGACTGTACATGTGCTTACTGTCCTCAAACACAACCACACTAGTCCTCGACTATGATGTCCTTTGACACAACAGGACCAGTGGCTTACCTGACGTCTTGCGACACACATGACCAGTGGCTTACTTGACGTCCTGCGACACAACCTGACCAGTGACTAACCTGACGTCTTGCGACACAACACGACCAGTGACTAACCGGGGGTCTTGCGACCCAACCTGACGTCCAAAGACACAACATGACCGTTCTTGTGACTAACCTGAAGTCTTGCGATACAACATGACCAGTGCCTAACCTGACGTCTTGCGCCACACATGACCAGTGGCTTACTTGACGTCCTGCGACCCACCCTGACCAGTGACTACCCTGACGTCTTGCGATACAACCTGACGTCCAGAGACACAACCTGCCCAGTGACTAACCTGACGTCTTGCGACACAACCTGACGTCCAGAGACACAACATGACCGTTCTTGTGACTAACCTGACGTCTTGCGATACAACATGACCAGTGGGTAACCTGACGTCCAGAGACACAACATGACCAGTGGGTAACCTGCCGTCCAGAGACACAAAATGACCAGTGACTAACCTGACATCTTGCGACACAACATGACCAGTGACTAACCTGACATCTTGCGACAAAACATGATGAATGACTAACCTGATGTCCTGAGACAGAGATTCATAAGTAAAGCCACAGAGTACTCGAGTGTGTAGTCAGACAGGGAGTCGTTATCCTCTAGTACCTTCACCAGCCACTCAATCAGTCCCGCATCAATCATGGATGTCTGGAGGTTACGGCTGTAACAGAGTTAAAATGGAAGCTGTGGTTTAAACAGTTTAAACAGAAGGCTACAAAAACGGAAGTAAATTTTTCAAGAGAAGTAAGAGCATCGATTTTGACATGTAGTAAATAAAGTAGAGAAGTTGTTTATCCTGTCAGGATGTCAACGTAACCCCAAAGGCTACGGCGTACAGCTTATACAAGTTTATGGTCTTGTATATATAGCAGTATTTGTTCAGCATCATTGTTTTATGATATTGAGGTAATGAAAAATAATTGCTATCAATTTAAACCTGTATACTGTGATAAGAATTCCTGTCACTTCTGATTTTACTGCATGACTGTTTTTTAATGATATCATTATACCTTAATCAATATATTAATTAATTAGGAGGCACAGTAGTCTAGTGGTAGGACGCCGGGCTCGTGACCAAAGGGTTGCGGGTTTCGAGTCACGGCACGGCACTGTGTTGTATCTTTGAGCAAGGTACTTTACACTGCTTGTTCCAGTCTACTCAGCTGTAAATGAGTACGTGGTTGGACAGTGCTAGAATTGTTGAATGCTAGCTGTGAGTGCCCAAATGGCAGCACCGACTGTATGCTCCCCACGGAGTTGAGAAAGATATTGGCTGGTTGCAATGGCCCTATAACCACGGAAAATAATTTGTGAACCGCTTTGAGATGACCTACAAACTAGGTTATGATAAAGCGGTATATAAGAACCACGAAATATTATTTTATTATTATTAACTATTACATAACCAGGCTCTGCAGTCTAATGGCCAAACTTACCGGAGACTGAGTTTCTGTAGGGCTCCAAGGACCATTTCCCTGGTAACCGACTCTTTCTCTTCACTGTGGAGACTGTCCAGAAGGGAGGTAAACAGGTCCTGATTCTGAGCCAAGTATGTCCGACCTACAACAGGTGTCCTTGTTAGCACACTGGTGTTAACTTAGGTTCTGCTATCCATACATGTGAACCCTAGCTACCTCTAGGTTAAAGTCAAATCATGTTCGTAACTATAGTCCAATCAAAATGTGTTCATTTGAGCCTTGAGAAATTCTGTAAAATTGTTTAGACTAGGAACAAGTTTTAAATACATCTGAGGAATTAATCATATTTGAGAGCAATGAAATATGTCGGCAACAACTAACAACTTTAATCTAAGCTGAGTATTGGAAATAAACAAGTTTTTAATTTCATAAAGCAAATTTTGTACACTCTGTCACATCAGCAGGCTTGACTGTTACCTGCACACAGAGAGGCGAAGGCATTGAACAGCCTGGCAGCACCCTGCTTCACCAACTCATCCGACGACGTCAGCAGACCAAGTACCACCGTCTGGAAAATAAACATCAGCCTCATTAGATTTTTAAACTGAACTCTTTAACCCTTTCACCCCTATGTAACTTTAGTAGACTCTACCATGCATTGATCTGGATGAGTCTTTTATGGTCTACAGTGGTGAAAGGGTTAACAGGACAAAAAGCTAGTCATTGGCCCCTAACATATCATAAAATAGTTAACAAACAGTATCATAATATAATATATACATAATACATAAAAGCCTTTCTTTAATCACAAAACATTTTACAAATAATATAAGTTTAGTCAGTAGCTTCTAACAGATCATTGAAAAGCTTAACAAGTGAAAGATAAGCAATTTCACTTCATCCAAACTAACTTTTGCAATTCTTGTAAGATTCTTATAAGATGTTACAGGAAAGAATATATTTCAATCCAGGGGTGCACACTTTCCTATTGAGAGTGCAAGTCGCACAAGTTCTATTATGCTGACCAATATTTTCATAATAATATTCAAAACTTTCACTTGCCCTTATTGCCCTTACATAACACCTACTGGCTCTTTGCGTCTAGCTAGAGATCTGATAAAAAATACACTTGAAAAATATTTTCTCTTGGACTAGTAAAAATCTATGTATACAATGACGACAAAGATAATGTCTGAGAAAAGTGATGACTGGAACATATTTTGCAGTACAGTAGTATATACTTAATTGAGAAACAGTTCAAAACTTCTCAAAAATAAGGGAGTCTGCATGGAGCAACTGATGGCAAGGTTATATTTACCCTGTGAGGCCCCCCTTGGACACTTCCTAGAAGGTCATATTTACCCTGTGAGGTCCCCCTTGGACACATCCTAGAAGGTTATATTTACCCTGTGAGGTCCCCCTTGGACACATCCCAGTAGGTTGTATTTTCCCTGTGAGGTCCCCCTTGGACACATCCCAGGAGGTTATATTTACCCTGTGAGGCCCCACCTTGGACACTTCCCAGAAGGTTATATTTACCCAGTGAGGTCCCCCTTGGACACATCCCAGTAGGTTATAGTTACCCTGTGAGGTCCCCCTTGGACACATCCTAGAAGGTTATATTTACCCAGTGAGGTCCCCCTTGGACACATCCCAGTAGGCTATATTTACCCTGTGAGGTCCCCCTTGGACACATCCCAGTAGGTTATACTTACCCTGTGAGGCCCCCCTTGGACACATCCCAGTAGGTTTATAGGTACCCTGTGAGGTCCCCCTTGGACACATCCCAGTAGGTTATATTTACCCTGTGAGGTCCCCCTTGGACACTTCCCAGTAGGTTATATTTACCGTGAGGTTCCCCTTTGACACGTCCCAGTAGGTTATATTTACCCTGTGAGGTCCCCCTTGGACACATCCCAGTAGGTTATATTTACCCTGTGAGATCCCCCTTGTACACTTCCTAGAAGGTTATATTTACCCTGTGAGGCCCCCCTTTGACACATCCCAGTAGGTTATATTAACACTGTGAGGTCCCCCTTGGACACATCCCAGAAGGTTATATTTACCCTGTGAGGTCCCCCTTGGACACATCCCAGTAGGTTATATTTACCCTGTGAGGTCCCCCTTGGACACATCCCAGTAGGTTATATTTACCCTGTGAGGTCCCCCTTGGACACATCCCAGTAGGTTATATTTACCCTGTGAGGTCCCCCTTGGACACATCCCAGTAGGTTATATTTACCCTGTGAGGTCCCCCTTGGACACATCCCAGTAGGTTATATTTACCCTGTGAGGTCCCCCTTGGACACATCCCAGTAGGTTATAGTTACCCTGTGAGGTCCCCCTTGGACACATCCCAGTAGGTTATATTTACCCTGTGAGGTCCCCCTTGGACACATCCCAGTAGGTTATATTTACCCTGTGAGGCCCCCCTTGGACACATCCCAGTAGGTTATATTTACCCTGTGAGGCCCCCCTTGGACACATCCCAGTAGGTTATATTTACCCTGTGAGGCCCCCCTTGGACACATCCCAGTAGGTTATATTTACCCTGTGAGGCCCCCCTTGGACACATCCCAGTAGGTTATATTTACCCTGTGAGGCCCCCCTTGGACACTTCCCAGTAGGTTATATTTACCCTGTGAGGCCCCCCTTGGACACTTCCCAGTAGGTTATATTTACCCTGTGAGGCCCCCCTTGGACACGTCCCAGTAGGTTATATTTACCCTGTGAGGTCCCCCCTGGACACATCCCAGTAGGTCATGGTCCCTGTAGGCTGTCATCGTGGTGTCTCGCTGCTGCGGATTAGACTGTGTCAGTCTCTGTAGACAAAAAAAAATCCTCATATAAATAACAATCAAATTATGATCTTAACTAACTTTTCCTAACTCATTCACCCCTGAAATTTCAAAATGAAATATTCCAAACCTTTGCACTGGAAGAGTTCAAATGTGTCTTTAGGGGTGAATGAGTTAAAGCAAATATAATCAATATAAAAGTGTTAACCCTTTCACCACTGTAGACCATAATGGACTCATCCAGATCAATGCATGGTAGAGTCTACTAAAGTTATATAGGGGAGAAAGGGCTAACCAGCATGAAAAATGTCAATAAATAATAGAATGTGTCCTCAGATTTCCTGCAGGATTTAATTCCAGATGAAAATATTTCAAAAATAAAAGCTTAACTATTTCCCTTGAATTCGTGTGATGATTTGAATTTCCATCATTACATCTGTAAGGCATACCTTAACGCTTTTTCTTTTAATTAAAACACCTAGCACACCTTTGTATTTTACAAATGCTGGACTTTGGTGGAGAAAAAACGTCTATAATAAAGTAGACTTACCCATCTCATGGCCTGGAGAAGCAGTGCCTTGCGCTTGTTTGTAGCATCAGCCATATCCTGTTTAATTTTCGTGAAGTCAAGAGAGGGATAAGGTTCGGGTTCCTCCATAGCTTTCCTGCAAGAGAACCACATCAATTTCACACAATATTTACTACAGAACTATGTGTTATGGGGAAAATCTCGTTTGATTTGGAAATATGTTAGTTTTTAGTGTTTAATTATTTCTCAGGAGAAATGGTTTGTTCTGCAAGCAATGATTATTTTCTTCCATAAGCAACAATTGTGTCCACTTTCTGTTGTGTGAGACCAAAAAACTGTAACAGAAATTGATTTGTCATGTGATGGACTGTTGACCATGAAGACACATACAGGGCTGTTGGGGACATTTTGTGGTGGGATAATGGACTGTTTGAGATACCGGGTGATAGACTGTTGGAGGTACTTTTTTGGGGGGTTGGGACTGACAAGAGAATCTTATATTTTTGGGTTGGCGGTCTGTCAGAAACACTGTAATGGTACCAAGCACTGTAAGAACCATTTACATTGTGGAACAATGGACTGCCAGAGAAACTTAACCCTTACACCACTGTAGACCATAATAGACTCATCCGGATCAATGTATGGTAGAGTCTACTAAAGTTACCAAGGGGCGAAAGGGTTAATGTGGTGGAACCATAGACGATTGGAGACACATTGTGTGGGTCAAAGATCTGTCGGAAGTACTTACTGTTGCGGGGCAATGGATTGTCGCAGGAACTGACTAGCTGTGCCTGGGCGCGTAAAGTCCACTGACTGATTCATGTGGGCGCTGAACAGACGAGCACAAATTTCTTGGAGGTATTCTGGAGTTACCTGCAGGCAAGAAAGGTCAGAGGTCAAACGAAGGTTAGAGGTGAGACACAAGCCGACACAAAATTTTGGTGTTCCAGTATTCGGTGTTTATATACACTGTATTATGCTTCTGATTTCATTTCAGGTTATTTTGACATATACTTAGAAAAAAAACCTGGTGCAGTGTTGAACAAACATTTTTTTTCTTTAGATTGCAAACATTGAAGTGTTACACGATATAAGTATAAGATTTCATATTAGAATCATCGATTCACCGAAAACATGACAATAGCACTGTGGTGGTATGTCCTACCGGTTTGCCTGTGACTGTAGACTCGAGGGCTTCCACCAGGTCAGCTGTTATCCCGATGAGGTTGTGGTAATCAGCCTGGTAACAAATACAGCAGAAATAGATATACATTTGATGAACATGTATTGCAAAAAAACAAATTTCTATGCAATTTTTTTTAAAATTTGGAATATCTCAAGTAATACTTCTTCTATTAAATTATATAATATAATAACTAAACAATTTTTTTTCCTAGAATTTTTTATTTTTTATTTTGTCATTTTTGTATTTTGGTAGTCTTGTGATCTTTATATAATCTTCATTTATTTTACATCAATTATGAAACAAGTTATTTCAACTTTAATTAATCACTCTTGTTGACCAGATGTTAGCACGCGGAGGGTCTTAGTGTGGAAGCAAATCCTGGCCGCCTTGGTGAAAGGCAAGTGTGCTATCCACTGCACCACCTGACCACCCATGATCTTTATACAAAGGAGGTCAAGAACTCTTTTTCATGATAACTTGTACAGTGATACTCTTTACCTTAATACAAATCAAAATGAAACCTACGGCCAGATAATCACAGCTTAATCTGCTCAATTTAACATCACTAATAAATGTTAACACACTAGCTAGCTACAGAAGTATTTGACTGAACACTAGATATAGAATTTGATACTACTGTAGGTTTTTTTTCATAATTACAAATCAATAATACACTGCATTTAACTCTAATTATTAAGTAAAACATAAGAATTGATGACAATTTCTTAAAGAATTACTGCCAAAATAAAAGAATTTCGTATGTGAAAACTTTTTAAGAATCATTTATTCAAATTAGTTTGCAATTTTGTTATATCCCAAAATTTCTTTTCCAAATCATCCTCGATGCTTTTACTCATTCACCCCTGAAGAAAATAAGTTTGTCTAATTAACACAGATGATACAGCTAGTATTCAAAATAACCTTCTGATGACAAACTATTGGAATTAATATTTTCATGCTTCAGAAATTCAAGAAAAGGTATACTAAAATTAGGGATTCAAATGTTGAAATTTTGAAAAAAGGGAGGACCATGTATAGAATAATATCACAACAAACAAGAGATTAAGTCTATTGAAGAGGAAATGACAAGATACATCGAGTACAGTTAGAACGAAATCATGTGAATCTGAAGAAATTGACAATACAAAGTAACAGTTACAAATGTATTACAATATACCTCAAGAATTCATATTAGCGAGAAAGCAAACATGAGAGACGTTTTTACAGGACAGGGTTGTTGCATGATTTTGGTGTTGCCCACTAAATGCACTGAATGAAGTTTTCTCAAGTAAAAAAAAATATCACATTATTATAGCAGATCAGAGAACTGACTTCAGCAGTATGGCTTCCGAGTTTGTTCACCAGTATAATAAACAATATTTTTATAATAGTTGGCCCCAAGATAAATGGTTACATTAGGATAATGCTGTGTGATCCAAATGATTGTTAATCAGGAGTTATCTACCACTGGACCCAGTTGTTCAAAAGGTGATTAGCTTAATCATTGTTAAACGACATTTTTCAACCTTTAAAATAATTTCGTCGTCATTATACCAGGTCAAATCTCACAATTTTGCATGTAAAATCGCTCTACTAAATGTTTGCTATCTGGAAAGTTGTAACTAATTCAATGGTTTTTGTTTTAAAGATACACAAAAAATAAAATTTGTGCTAATCACTGATTAAGCTTATCATCTTTTGAACAACTGGACCCTGGATATTGTAATGTTGGCATAAATGTTATATGTATCCTTTTTTGTTCAATAGAAGCAAACTAGACAAATTTTATTTTACTAAAGAGTAAAAATAATTCCCTTTCTTTCTTAGAGATAAGTAGATGTGTAGCAATGTTGAAGATGTTAATCACATCTCAGCAGTTTATTTATGACACATGATTTCTAAACTTATCAGTTATGAAATATAAATTCAAACCAAACAGTTACATTTATTTACAAAATATTTTATTTATTCTGCTTAATTTATCTCATTAACATGTGAGACAATGTAAGACAATGTTGTCAGTAAAAGTTATAATTTTTGTTTCCTTATATCATCATGATTTGATTAATGAACATTTACTTATCAGGTATTAATAGAGATCATGAAACCATATACTTTTGTATATATATATATATATATATATAATAAAAAGTGATTAAATGTCCATGTGAAGGAAGTAAATTTAGAAAAAATAAAATTAACGACCGACTAAAAAACTAGCTGCTTTCACCCTTCACAGGGCTCTTCAGGTTTATTCAAAAGAGAAACCTGAAGAGCCCTGTGAAGGGTGAAAGCAGCTAGTTTTTTAGTCTGTCGTTAATTTTATTTTTTCTATATATATATATATATATATATATATATCATACATTTTGTTAAAACAGGGGAGATAATCAAGGACGCCTTATGATTTAATTGATGTACAGTTGTTATAAATAATACCAACTTGTCATTTCAAACACCAGTCATCTGGGTCTTTTTGACTCTTACTTTCCAGTCAGAGATACAAACATTTACATACAACTGATCTCTATCATACAGCTACACATATAACATTGCAAAAATACTGGATGACTTATAATTACCTATACTACAACAGGCAGAATACTATAAGATTGTATTTTACAAGTGCTGTAAAGCTTTAAGGCCACGGAACTGTTTACAACACTCATAAATGAGAATCTAAACAACAGACTGATATTTTTAATATTTTAGGTAACCATGCTTTAAAAAATGTCAAATGTATTTTACAACAACAAGGAATTTAGGAAAAAACAAACTTCAATCACTTAAATCTACCAACAATATGTCATAACTACAGCAAAAGGACCCATGGGCCTGTAAGGCTCCACTGGTCAATAAAACCCAGAGAAATTCTACCAGTGTGCATGACTAATATATTACAATATCAGTTTAGATCAGAGATTAGAGATTAGAGAAAGTGAGTGATAATTTGATAAACTCTGAATGACTGTTCATGGTAAGAATTTTAAATTTTCTCCATATACAAGCAATCGTGATGGCCATGCTGATAAATGAATTATTCAAAAAATCCTTAGGAGCAAATTGATATGTGCTTGTCGAATGCTTTGAAGTATCCTCTTTTATTCCTTGTTTAAATATCAGTGATTGAAGAACACAACCAATGACGGATATCACGGAATTAGATTTGCTATCTAAATACATACCGATTTTTATGGAAATCGCCTTTAATAATTCACAGAAACTACAACAACAGGTTAATCAATATCTAAATTGGTACAAAACAAGAGGCCCAATGGGCCTGCATCGCTCACCTGTTATTAATCTAACACTTGTAATCTTAAGATTTCATAAGAACCTATTAAAAGATTTAAACATATGACGCCTCTGACCTTGATTGTTGAACAAGGACATTAGGTTGAAAGTGGATCAAGGTCATTTATTTGAACTAACATGGTAGTGCTTCATCCCAGCATGCTACAGGCCCAATTTCAGTACCCTGGCCCTTTTGCTTATTGAAAAGAAGTCGCTTGAAGATTTTACGACGTTTGACCCTGTGACCTTGAAAGTTGGTCAAGGTCATTCAGTTGAACAAACTTGAGAGTCCTTCATCCCAGCATGCTACAGGCCCAATATCAGTACCCTGGGCCTTTGGTTATTGAGAAGAAGTCGCATGAAGATTTTACAACATTTGACCCCTGTGACCTCGAAAGGTGGTCAAGGTCATTCATTTGAATAAACTTTATAGTCCTTCATCCCAGCATGCTACAGGCCCAATATCAGTACCCTGGGCCTTTTG